TTTTTTCGACCCTCTGTACCACAACCCAGTCCGAGGGAGACATGGTGTGTTTTTGTGTGGTGTAGTCGACCCTCTGTACCACAACCCAGTCCGAGGGAGACATGGTGTGTTTTTGTGTGGTGTGGTCGACCCTCTGTACCACAACCCAGTACTCAACGTTGTTTCCTCACTCACCCTAATTGTATTCGGCCTGCAGCCAGTAAGTATCAGTTGAGTAAGTGAGTGTTTGTGTTTTAGGTCCCCTTTCGCAGCCACATTCTAGCCACATTACGGCACATTACGGCACCCGTGGGAACAGTACCCCGTCTTCGGCCGGACATTTTAACCACTTTTACCCTGAAGAGTTTAAAGCATATCTTCATATTGTTTTCTGCAAAATGCTGTCAGTAAAATGTGAGAGTAGCTTGTCACCATAATTGTGTGGATACAATCGGCATAAACCCTTTTTCATAATTAATAATAAACCTCCGCTGAAAGCATCGTCGATTGTAGATTTCGAAAACCTTCAGCAACCCATGCTTGTTGTAAGAGGCAGCTAAAGAGCTCGGTTAGTCAGGTTCGCTCATCGTATCCATATTGCGTAGTTCGATTCTCATGCTGTTGATCAGTGGATTGTCTGGTCCAGACTTGATTATTTACAGACCGCCGTCATATAGCTGGAATGTTGTCGAGTGCGGCTTTAAGCAACAAACAAACAAAACGGTCATTTTGTATTTACATTTCATCTTCTATCAATTTGTCAGGGCGGTAGACTAGCAACTAGTCTCTAAATGAACATATTTTACAGAAAGAGTGAGTGAGTTAGTTTAGTTTTACGCCGCTTTTAGCAATATTCCAGCAACATCACGGCTGGGGACACCAGAATTAGGCTTCACACATTGCCGCCATGTGGGGAATCGAACCCGGGTCTTCGGCGTGACGAGCCAACGCTTTACCCACTAGGCTACCCTACCGCCCCTTTTACAGAAAGAAAAGTTCATAGTAAAAAAATATAATATAATGTAAGGAGACCTGAGACTTTCTTCATTTTCAACTGATGCTGTGGAAATCTAGACTTGCCATATTTTCTAGACTTGCGTGGGCTTTCTTGGATATATTTGATTCAGGGTCTGAAGCCTAGTGGTTAAAGCGTTCGCTCGCACGACGAAGACCCTGGTTTGATTCCCCACATGGGTACAATGTGTGAAGCCAATTTTTTGGTGTCTTCCGCTGTGATATTGACGGAATAACACTACTCTCGCTCTTACTCATTCTAACATTGAGGGGCGGTGGGGTAGCCTAATGGTTAAAGCGTTGGCTCGTCACGCCGAAGACCCGGGTTCGAAACCCCACATGGGCACAATGTGTGAAGCCCATTTCTGGTGTTCCCCGCCGTGATGTTGCTGGAATATTGCTAAAAGCGGCGTAAAACCAAACTCAGTCAGTCAGTCTAACATTGAAGTGGGTATGATACCATGGCCCAGAGTCCCTCTTTAAACACTATTTTAATGACATTTTACTATAATATGTTTTCCTTTGTCTAGACTGTCTACCGTGGTTGCACTACGACCGTCATGGCGTTTACACAAGGCCGAGGAAATCTCTTGTCATACTTGTTGATCCTGATCCCGTTTGGCATCGTCGCCTTTATGCTGGGAAAGTACTGCCAGAACTGTGTTGACGTGACCGTTGAAGAACGTATGCAACGCAGCTTGAAGGATCCAGAAAGAAGTGTAGGTCCGAGAGGGATGGCCCGAGTTTACACGTGGAACGGATATAAGTGGAGGAAGCTCCCAGAGTTCTGCTCCTATATGGAGACGAAAAACTGCCACAGACTCGTTTCACCAAGCGGAGACACACCAATATTTCTACACGATGTCAAAGACGACATTTGGGTATCTGGTTACATTGCAAAGACGGGATTGTGGGAACCCCAAAATCTGAACGTTATTTTGGAGCAGTTGAGGCTGGACAGTAAGATGGGCTTTATCGATTTAGGGTCCCATGTAGGTGCGTTTTCCTTGTCTGTTGCCAAAGCAGGTAAACAGGTGGTGTCTGTAGACCCCTTACCTTCAAACATTAGGAATATGTGTCAGTCGGTGGAATATGGTAAGCTTTCTGCTCAAATCACTTTAATTTTAAACGCTTTATCCAACACTCGCCAGGATGTGACGTTCAGTTTCACCTCGGGAACATAGCTGCCACTGAAATGAGGACATCACAAGATACGTCAGTATCTGGCTTCTGTAAGCGGCCTCTGATTGCCCATTCAGTTACATTGGATGATATTCTTCCTTTTGTGAAGTTTGATCGAGCTTTCATGAAGATTGACGTTGAGTCAATGGAATTTGAAGTTATATCAGGCGGAAGAAAACTTTTCAATCAGGTAGACGTGAAAGGGATTTTGATGGAATGGGAACACACGAAGGAAAGTCCGAAGGCAATCAAGCTCATCGATCTCCTTCAAGGCATGGGTTACACAGCCTTCTCTCCCTTTGATCAAGGTCACCCTTTGCTCGTCAGCCAATACAAGAACTGGACATACGATGTTATTTGGTTGAAGCACAAATAAAATATTCTTAATGATGCAACAACTTCTGATAACAGAATAATCGTCCTTCTATTCATTTGAATTAAAGATGTATCACGAAACCAAACTCCAGCTTGGCGATCAGAAACGAGCTATGTGTAAAATATCATTTTGCTGTTATCTGCTTGTTTAAAAAATATTATATAGGATCGCAGGTGAAAGCCTCTGAACACCATTCATTTTATCGTTCGTATGTAAAGGTAACTAGTGAAGGGGCGTTATTTGTGTAGTATCAAATGAAAAAAAGTTTTATGTTGAAAATATTGATTCTGATAACACAGACCAATTATCATTTCTCTCATTATTGAATATTTACTTTGACAAAATGTGATTTATCTCCATCTTGGAATGTATACTGACGTTCAAAAGATAGTACACACCTGATGCTTTGGTAAACTGTTTTCCTAAAAACAGCGTAATATTTAGAAAAGTGTTTTGATTGTGACTCACATTTCACAAACATTGTGTACCCATTGCAATAACACCATAGATATCGTACCCAATTGGAACATTGCTAGCAAAATGTTTACGTTTATAGTCTCAAAACACCATTTGTGCACTTTCTTTTGTACATCAGTATAGAAACATTCCTACCATTGAAAGTGCATTATCATTTGGTAAATGCAATTTGTGTAAACTGACATTAACATTTTAGAAAATACATTTTTCTTGAAAACTATGCTAAATTTTGATGCCACTAACAAAACCTTTTGTGATTGTCTGATCGGCATTCTAAAAGTTAGTGTGTTGAGAATGACGCATACAACTTTATGGATAAATGCTTCTTGTTGATATAGATTCTTACGCCGTTATGAAGCTGTTAATGGTGTAAAGGTTGTATGCTTCATTTTATTGACTCACTAGAATGCCGATCAAACAGCTGGTAAGAACTAAGACGTATATATTGAGACGGGGCAGCCATCAACAGCTTGATAACGCTGTAATAACGGTGTAACCTTCGTTTTAGTCTGTCTCACAGTCCCTGAACCACATAATTTTCCCTACTGCCTAACCCTCCCTGCAATGTAGTCTGTCTCACAGTCCCTGAACCACATTATTTTCCCTAATGCCTTACCCTCCCTGCAATGTAGTCTGTCTCACAGTCCCTGAACCACATTATTTTCCCTATGCCTAGCCCTCCCTGCAATGTAGTCTGTCTCACAGTCCCTGAACCACATTATTTTCCCTACTGCCTAGCCCTCCCTGCAATGTAGTCTGTCTCACAGTCCCTGAACCACACTATTTTCCCTATGCCTAGCCCTCCCTGCAATGTAGTCTGTCTCACAGTCCCTGAACCACATTATTTTCCCTACTGCCTAGCCCTCCCTGCAATGTAGTCTGTCTCACAGTCCCTGAACCACATTATTTTCCCTATGCCTAGCCCTCCCTGCAATGTAGTCTGTCTCACAGTCCCTGAACCACATTATTTTCCCTACTGCCTAGCCCTCCCTGCAATGTAGTCTGTCTCACAGTCCCTGAACCACATTATTTTCCCTACTGCCTAGCCCTCCCTGCAATGTAGTCTGTCTCACAGTCCCTGAACCACATTATTTTCCCTAATGCCTAGCCCTCCCTGCAATGCGAAAGCCTTAAATGAAGCAAGTCTAGATTTCCCAATCAAAATCACTGGGGCTCCTTTTCAATTTAAATGGATTTAGTTGTTACTATCAAAATGATATATATTCAGGGACTAAGCGTTAATCTACCTCCATTTATGCCTAGTGTCAGGTGGATTGTTGACTGTGCGTGCGTCATCATGAAGTCCAAAGATCAGGGGGAAATGATCCTCAGGGAAAATCTTTTCGGGGTAGAAGGGGGCGTTTAGTCCCCAACTGGCCTCTTCCAATTATGTACCACTTGTTATTATTCAATTACATGCTGTTGTTAATGTTAATCTGCTGTTTGTCATAACATACTATGTATATATACTTATCAAGATTTGGTTGTCACTTTTAGCTTGATAACGATGTAAGAATCTACATCAAAACGTCGCTCTATGTAATAAACAAGAAGTTGTCATCCATAAAGTTGTTTGTTTCATTCTTGACTCACCAACTTCTAGAATGCCGATTAAACAATTTACCAAAAGACTTAAAAAGATGAAAATTGTTATTTCCCTGCCTGCCTGCCATCTTGGTGATTAAACAAGGAAAGAATGAGTGAGTTTAGTTTTACGCCGTTTATAGCAATATTCCAGCAATATCATGGCGGGGAACACTAGAAATAGGCGTCAATGAAATGAAAAGTCGAACCCGGGTCTTCGGCGTGACAAGCGAACGCTTTAACCACTAGGTTACCCCACGAACCTGAGTGAAAAAGGATTCACCTGCTCGGGAGTCACTGTATTGGTTGTGAGAGGTGCATTCATCTTTCATACGTGCAGCATGTCATATCAGTGGGCGAGCAGTCCAGTATTACTCCAGCTCAGAACAAGCGGTCACACAACCAACACCACCTGGGGCCTCTTCACAAGGCGAACATACCGCTGCGATCGCTTTGTGAAATACATGCACACCCCCATGCGCCCAGATCTGCTGCTGGCGAGCGAATACTTTCAGCCGATTAGAGGGTGGTAGCTGTTCCCAAATTGACCTACTTAGACGCGATGGAGTCTCTACGGGGGAAGGTGACGATTGTAACGGGTAGGTACCTACTGTCAGCCTCGCCGATGTCAGGGTGACGGGTGGAGGAGGGGTGGTAGAGGTGGGTAGGGTGGTTACTGCAGACTCTGGTGGCGCATCTGTGACGACAGTCACCACGAGGACCGCAGCTGTAGTGGCCACTAAACTTTTCCTGGTCGTCGATATCGACGCGAGACGGCTTCCATGTCTCATACATCTACAAACCGTTACGTTTTGGTGGGCGTAGAGAGTCTTGTGTAACTCGCTTTGAAACGTCAACATTATAGCTCCACACCATCCTGTTTAGAGGAAGGGTAGGGGGTCAACAATAGGTTGTGCATAACATCATAACATGACGGGAATAGAGTATGGGACACGTCTTCTTAACAGGGGCGGATACAGCTTTTTGAGAAAGGGGTGTGGGGTGTGTGTACACTCTTGAGAGAAGGGGTTGGGGTGGTGCACACTACAATTTCACCAGTTTTCATGGGTCATATGATTAACTTTCGGGACAAAAGGGGTGGGGGTGGGGGGAGAGGTTGAGGTATTGTAAAACATATGTGCTGGACAAAAGACAATCTTTAGGTCTTTGATATGGAACTTCTTTCTACTAACTGGTATTCAATGTGAATAAGAACAATCCTGCGTGCACGGATATTTCAGAGAAAATAAATCAATGAAGGATTTTACAGGCACATCTTGCGGTTGCAGTGTGTGTGTTTGGCTTTACGCCGCGCCGCGTTCAGCAATATTCCAGAGCAATCTCACGGCGGGGACACCGTAAATGGGCTTGTACACAAGTGGGGAATCGAACCAGTGTGAGAAGCGAAAGCTTCAACCACTAGCTTCCTCCACCGCTTCCTGACCGACAACACGACAACAACGTATGCAGCCGGGCTGGGGTAATACTTATGCACAGGGGGACAGTAAGGCAACGATGAGAAGTTTAGACCCGGCCATCTTCTCCAAGCAAGAAGCGGGGTGTTGTACGGCGGCATTACGTCTCACGGAGCAGTGGTTGGTGGCTGAAACATTAATACTCTGCAATACATTGACATTTTTTAGGCTGACCTTTAGCCGGTTATCACATGACATTTTACTGATAATGGCCACATCTGTCAAGATGACTTTGCTTCTGTTCAAATACCGACAGCCTAGCTGTTGGAGCAGGGGACAGTTATTCAAAAGGTTGTATGTGATGCAAGCTTATATAATGTAAGTACATTAACAAATGGCCTCAGGTTTGTTTTCAACATTCTGTTTGGTTTCCACGTGAACAACTGACCTGTAGCGAGATCGGTATTACAATTTTTAAGTAGTGTGTACCTTAAAATGTTTACTTAATCTTTAGTACATTTGAAAAATTAAAATCTGATCCTCTGCGCCTTCGTGATTGATATTTTGTCCAATTATTGTAGGGGCGGTGGGGTAGCCTAGTGGTTAAAGCGTTCGCTCGTCACGCCGAAGACCCGGGTTCGATTCCCCACATGGGTACAATGTGTGAAGCCCAATTCTGGTGTTCCCCGCCGTGATAGTGCTGGAATAGCTGGAATAGTGCTTAAAGCGTCGTAAAACTAAACTCACACTCACTCCAATTATTTTAACAATTCTAGGACAATGAATAGTCGTTTTTCTCTGGCGAGGTTAACACTTTGATAAAACCCTCGGGTATGATGCTTACCAACCTACAGAAACATGGTTAGGATTCGAACCCGTTCGATCATGTTTCTCGCAAATCGGAGCATCACATATGTCTATGAATATCAAAGTCATGTCTCCATTTGATCATGACGTGAAGCCTACAATCGGAACACACTGTTCATTACAGGCGCAAGTTCGGGCATCGGAGCTGGTATCGCGAAGTATTTGGCGAAACAAGGATGTCGACTGTCTTTAACTGGACGGAAACAGGACAATCTGGAGGCTGTGGCAAAGGAAACTGGTCTGGGTGAAAGCGATGTTAGTAGTCCCATATTATACTGGCAATGTGATAATGAACATTTAGGTTCACATGAACTTAAAATCCAGCGTTAGCGTACAAAACTCATTCTTTATTACAGACACAGCTTTTTCTGAATATGGATGTACATTTTATTTTGTTGCATCAAGTGTCATATAATATCAAACAGTATGTCACTGTTCCGCGATAATCCCTAAAATTATGTATAGCAATGTTTCAAACACGTTTCATATAACGTTGCCTTGTGATATAGCTCCGTTTATCCAGAAACCTTCAATGTCTGACAATACGTGGTATTATATTGTATTCACATTTAATAAAACTATTCGGATTGTCTGCAGATCATCACCACGGTTGGAGATATAGCAAAACCAGAGGACAGACAGAACCTCGTGGACAGAACCATGGCCAAGTACGGTAGGATAGATATTCTGGTGAGTGCAAGGTAACACGGACAGTGGACACCGTGAAACCAATGACAGTGAGTGAGTGAGTGAGCTGGGTTTTACGTCGCTTTTAGAAATATTCAGGCCTTGAGATACCGGAAATGGACTTCACACATAGTATTCATGTTTAGAGTCGACCACGGGTCCTCTGACGAGAGATCATTGTCGCCGTCGGGCTACCCCTACGGCCCTAATGATAACAGAAGGACACAGTGCAGTGATTACGTTACTACAGTTTGCAAAAGCCACAAAAACATTTCCAGATGCAAGAAATGTCAATTATATTTACTGCCCATCGTGTAAATCAGATTATATCTCATTCATCGAAACTGGATATTCATAATAAATATAAATGCATGAATCACTGAATTACCTCCCTTGGGACCCACCAGAGGCCATGACCTCGAGTGTGTACCCGGTTATTTTTTAATTATTTAGCCCTGTATGTGAGACCTCACCAGTCCAATGCTAGCGGGTGATAAAGATATATGAGACCTGCTTCATTAGAGGCTCTCGACCCACATTCCACCTGACACGCCATAACATGAATGAAATACTGCTGAAGGCGCCGTTAGACCACACACTCACATATCTTGTCTAGTAGTGTAAATATATTCGTTGGGAGGGTTTGGTGGTGGGGGTGGTTTGTGGAGATAAAGAGACTGCCTGATTGGTTACAGGTCAACAACGCCGGCGTCCTTCAGGTGAGTCCACTCTCCGACGTCACCGAGGAACATTACGACAGCATCTTTAACATCAATCTGAAAGCACAGGTGTTTCTCACGAAACTCGCCATCCCACATCTGACTGAAACCAAAGGTATGCATTTGATGTATAAGGTTATTGTACTGGTAGTAGCAAGGGACAACGATGTAGATTCCTACACTAGCATAGATGTATGGTTACATTGTACTCCTGGTTACCTGACAGTGAGTGAGTGAGTGAGTGGATGGGTGGTTGGGTGAGTGAGTTAAGTTTATGTCATGTCGGCAATATTTTAGCCATATTGTAACTAGAAACTTTAATCTATTTATGTTTTCTAAAGATATGTGATCAGGGTATAGTAGGATTATATGTTACGGTTTTTTTGCATTCAGATGAGTATAAAGTATAATTTTTATACAATACAGGCGATTACTCACTTTCCGCAATCATAAGAAATATCTAGGAAAAGCATTTACATAACATACACAACATAACAGTCCATTTGTATAGCGCTAATTCCATGCCCAATGCATGTCTAAGTGCACAGCTCAGAGAAGATAGATTCAGAGAAGATAAGCTTGTCTGAAGAAATAGGTTTAAGGCTTGTTTTGAAGGTTGATAGTGATTCTGAAAGACGAATCATCTGTATCATATATGCTGTGTAAGAATAGTGATGATATAAAAGCGTTCGCGAAAAGGTGAGTGATATGTTGCCCCATTGGTAGCTGTCGTCACAAACACATGTAGAGGCAAGTCAATTTTTCATCTGAATACGGAACACATGGTATACGTCAAAATAGCGAATTGTATGTGACATAATTAAGGTCAATGATGCGTCAAATTTGGAATTTATCTCAAGTTCTCTGATAAACCTTTTTCAAAGCTTTCCTGAGGCCTTGGATGTGGCAACTAAGAAGCTCTTTGAAAGCTTCACAGTTTGAACATATAGTTTGATTATACCTCATACACAGTAAAATTAGATTGCCGCGCATTTATTTCTGCGTTTCTGTTTTGTTTTTTTGTTTTTTCATGAAATACATTTACTTCTCTTGTATTGGAACTTAACTGATTTCCGATTGTTTTCTTCGTTATGTTCATGGCTAAATGCCACTACTGAGCCCTGTGGGAGGTTATTACCGTCGACTTGTTAATGTACAAGATTGGACTTCAGTATCAATTTATCTATATGATGGTACGTTCTTACTGACTAACTGCACAGGATGCACACTGCTTTTTACATACACGTAGAACAGCATACTCAGAGACTTTAACAAACTCATCGTTTCTGATGGTACAGTGTCAAGACAAACTCTTGTTACCCAATGAAGGTGAGCATCAGAACATGCAGCACATTCCTGATGTTACTTCTGCTGTATTTCAGGAAACATTGTCAATATTTCGTCTACCGGATCCTGCAAGCCGGTAAGTAGCCACTGTTGTGTACATGTACAAACCACATGTGTGGCTTAGCAAATAGGAGAGAATGTCACTTACTTCGGGCTTCGTCTTTCAGCCGTGGTGTCACGTACTGGTGACGGCCTGACCTCTGTATCTACCGAGGCGTGGGGAAACGTGCCGTAAACTGGCTCTACATCACATTAACACCTGTCATGTGACCATGCTGTTGCCATGTATACCAAATCGCTTTTAGTGAAGCATCATAGACTATCGTATAGTTTCTGAAATGAACAGAAAAAACAGTTTCTAAATTATAAATCTAGACTTGTCACATAGTCTAGACTTGCATGGGCTTTCTTGGATATATTTGTTTCAGGGTCTGTATGAGGTGAGGTGAAATGGGGTTTAACGTCGGACTTAAGAAGAATATTTCGCTCATATGACGACGTGCATGCGTGTGTATGTGTATGTGTGGCTGCTTGTACTAGCCCAGACTGAAGCTGGTTTTATAGTGCTAGCCCACTGAGATACCATGCCACAGTGAAGCATGAATACCCCACTCAGACACATTATACTGACTCCGTGCCGACCAGTCCTTGTTGTACCCATTAATGCCGAGCGCAAGGCAGGGACCAACAAGTACCATATTTTAACGTCTTTTGGTATGACCAGGGATAATCTACTACAGGGATAGGTTACTCGCTTGCTTTCTTTACCATTTGTACTAATTAGCGTGTGCCTCGTCATGCTCCAACGCACACAGTGACTCGGTTCGTTCCCAGCGCTTTGAGACATTTTTTACATTTGTAATTAATTCAGATATCTTATTGCATGTGTGGAATGGCATGGACATTTGACAGAATGTTACTATCGCAAAGCGTTGTAAACACCTTTCCAGTTTTGTCAAATACTAAGATCAACAAGAAAGAAAGAAGTTTTAGAACTATATCACTCAAGCATTACAAGCATCAATAGCGGATCAGAACAGATCGGCAATATGTCATATTTTTCACACACCTCAAATACACCCTAACAAAAAAAATTAAATTATGAAACTATCACTATTACTTGCAAACACCTTTCACCTGATGGTATATTCCCCTCATAAAAATTAAAGGTGTATGTGAAAGATGTTTTAGAACAATAAGTAGAAACACTCAAACAACGCCCAGTAGTATATCAATGGCAGATCGGCGATATGTCATATTTTTCACACACCTCAAACACACCCTAACAAATTTTTTTTAGTTATAAAACGATCACTATTACTTGCAAACACCTTTCAGCTAAAGGTATATTTCGCTTCTATAAATTAAACGAATATGTGAAAGAAGTTTTTAGCGATACAATTTAGTCTTTCTTGAATTGAATTGAAGCCAGTGAGCTACAACATGCCGACTTGAAACTTTACTACAAATCTACTGTACTAATACTGACACTAATAGCAATTATTTAACTTAAAATGAAGTGACAGAATAGGTAACTTATCTTCTACATGTAGGTTTTCAGTTGTCACAACACTCAGCGAATGTAATCAGCTGTTGAAAATAAACCGGGCTCAATCTTAAAAACTACGCTGCCGCCATATTGGCTACACTGGTCACGTGACGAGGCGAGGCATACGCTAAGGGGCTTTTCGAGGAGTGACCACTCCCCGTTATATAGTCTCCCTGGTATGACGCGGCCGGGGATCGAACCCGAGACTTTCCGCTCTCTGGGCGGACGCTCAAACCAGTGTGACAGACTAGGGACATCACTATGAGCTTCAAACATTGAAACATGAAATAACGCCCTGTCCATTCGCTTGGGTGACTACTTACACAGACCGGTACACACTTGTATATACACGCATCACTCACTCACTCATCCTACACCGACACTAGTTTCAAGCTGTACTCGTCATGGACTACTATTCCTGCATTAATTGATCGAAGCGGACGTAATAGGTCACTGTACATACAGGTGATTTCGTTCTACCCAGACATTTTCAAGTGATAATTATATTTCTGACATCTATGAATTCATAGCTGATAAAACACTTTGTATTTTCCAGGGCGCTGGCGAAGGAGTGTACTCCATGAGCAAGATTGCTCTGGACATGTACACCAAAGTCCTTGCTCTAGGTATGTAAGTTAAAGTGATTTATATATTTAGTTTTGTTTGTCGTTTGACACCGCACTCTGCAATATTCCAGCTAAAAGTGGGCAAAGTGCAAACTAACCCATTCCGGATCAATGATCAATGGTAAGTCTATAATCCACGACGACAAACCACAACCGCCGGCTTGTCGTGATCTCATAACGTTCTGGTGGGTAGTAGATAAGCTGGTTCCCGGCTCTCTTTGCGCGCGCTAACTTGCGAAATATGCGAGACGGGACCCAGCTTAGGTAATTTAGAGACCCCCAGCGTCACCTGGCGGAGGTTGTAAAAGATTGCACGTAGACACACTCAACCTTTACCACGCCGCGGAGTTCAGTTCACAGTTTGCCGGGAGACATGTTCATTACCAATTATTTTCTAGCACATTAAGGTCCAAGAGAAGTTCTGTTGCAAATGACTCTATGGCCTGGTTCAAATCTCCAGTCTTTGTCATTTTGGGGCGGTGGGGTAGTCTAGTGGTTAAAGCATTCGCCGAAGGCCAGGGCCCAGATCCACAAAATGTTCGTAGCGCTACAACATTCGTAAGTCTATGAGAATCTAAAGTTACGACAGGTCGTAACGTTACGAACTGCTGGACCGGGCCCCAGGGTTCGATTCATACATGGAATACGATAATATGTGTAAAGGCCATTCATTGTGTCCCCGTCTTGATATTTCTGGAATATTGCTTGCAAAGCGGCATAAAACTAAACTCACTCCTCACTTTTGTCGTGTTAATAAAGCTTAAGCTCGTGCTGGTCTGCTTTAGAATTGTGGTCGAAGACTGACTACACTCCAGCGTCAGTTTAATATTGTGTTAAATGCAGCGTCAATCCTGATCAGCTCACTGTGAGTTTTAATTCACATTAACTATTTCGTTATCTGTGTTGGCAGAACTTGGACCCAAAGGAGTTCGAGTCAATTCTGTCAAGTATGTATAAACTCTATTGCTAAATATAATATATAATTCCACCGGTAAACCTTGCTTTTGTGTATCTATTTAACTCACATACGATTTTCTGAAACCAAATCGTCTGTTTTTCCCTTCGAAACCAGCCCAGGGTTTGTTCCAACAGACATCTTCCGGAGAAGCAACCTTGACCAGATGTCGGAGGGTACGATGCCAGAATGAGGTGGGTAGTACCAGATGTCGGGAGGGTACGTGCCAGATGAGGTGGGTAGTACCAGATGTCGGGAGGTACAGTGCCAGATGAGGTGGGTAGTACCAGATGAGGTGGTAGTACCAGATGTCAGGAGGTACGTGCCAGATGGTGGGTAGTACCAGATGTCGGGAGGGCAATGCGATTGCCAGATGAGTGGGTAGTACCAGATGTCGGGAGGTGTAGTACCAGATGAGGTGGAGTAGTACCAGATGTCGGGAGGGTAGTACCAGATGTCGGGAGGGTAGTACCAGATGAGGGTGGGTAGTGCCAGATGTCCGGGAGGGTAGTACCAGATGAGGTGGGTAGTACCAGATGTCGGGAGGGTAGTACCAGATGTCGGGAGGTATTGAGTACCAGATGAGGTGGAAGTAGTACCAGAATGTGGGTGACACGGCAAGTAAACCTGTTGGGACATTATATAAGGACGTTCGGTTGTCCGCTGTGTCCCGTGCATCATGGACGGATTGTGTAAAGCCACTTAACCTGGAGTCAGTATAATGTGTCTGAGTGGGGCATTCATGCTTCACTGCGGAATGGTATCTCACTGAGCTAGCACTATAAAACCAGCTTAAGTCTGGGCTAGTACAAGCAGTATATACTACTCGTTCAAGAACACACGATTTTTCATATGACATACACACGCATGCACGTCGTCATATGAGCGAAATATTCTCCAGCGCGACGTTAAACCCAATTTCACCTTACCTCACCTCCTGCATTAATTGATCGAAGCGGACGTAATAGGTCACTGTACATACAGGTGATTTCGTTCTACCCAGATATTTTCAAGTGATAATTATGTTTCTGACATCTATGAATTCATATAGCTGATAAAACACTTTGTATTTTCCAGGGCGCTGGCGAAGGAGTGTACTCCATGAGCAAGATTGCTCTAGACATGTACACCAAAGTGCTGGCTCTAGGTATGTAAGTTAAAGTGAAAAATATATGATTGTGGTTTTGTTTGTCGTTTGACACCGCACTCTGCAATATTCCAACTAAAAGTGGGCAAAGTGCAAACTAACCCATTCCAGATCAATGATCAATAGTAAGTCTATAATCCACGACGACAAACCACATTTCCGCCGGCTTGTCGTGATCGCATTACGAAGAAGAGAAGAAGAAGAAGAAGAAGAAATATAGTTTATTAATGTGTCACATGCTGCAGAACATTAAACAAAGACGGTACATTATTGCAAGAATTTAAAAGCAGCATCCGGCCATAAGGCCTATGAGACACAAATGTCACAGTTGTAGAAAACATTAGTAATAAAATCACACCCACACATACACACACGCAGGCCGAACCGTATGCACAAACACAAAACGCATACACCTTCACACACCCACACGCACGCACACATACACACACATACACACACACACACACACACACACACACACACAAGCGCACGAGCCTACAGACAGACACCTACGACAGACAGACAGACAGACACACACACACACACACACACTTACACTTTCTTAACATAGATTACATAAATAGCAAACATGTTGACCTTATTATCAAAGTACATTGTAGAGTTAACTCCTACGCGCGCGCTAACTTGCGATATGCGAGACGGGACCCAGCTTAGGTAATTTAGAGAGCCCCAGCATCACCTGGCGGAGGTTGTAAAAGATAGCACGTAGACACACTCAACCTTTACCACGCCGCGGAGTTCAGTTCACAGTTTGCCGTGAGACATGTTCATTACCAATTATTTTCTGGCACATTAAGGTCCAAGAGAAGTTCTGTTGCAAATGACTCTATGGCCTGGTTCAAATCTCCAGTCTTGGGGCGGTGGGGTAGTCTAGTGGTTAAAGCATTCGCCGAAGGCCAGGGCCCCGATCCACAAAATGTTCGTAGCGCTACAACATTCGTAAGTCTATGAGAATCTAAAGTTACGACAGGTCGTAACGTTACGAACGCTTTATGGATCGGGCCCCAGGGTTCGATTCCTTACATGGGTACGATGTGTAAAGGCCATTCATTGTGTCCCCGTCTTGATATTTCTGGAATATTGCTTAAAGCGGCATAAAACTAAACTCACTCACTCACTTTGTCGTGTTAATAAGCTTAAACTCGTGCTGGTCTGCTTTAGAATTGTGGTCGAAGACTGACTACACTCCAGCGTCAGTTTAATATTGTGTTAAATGCAGCGTCAATCCTGATCAGCTCACTGTGATTTAATTCACATTAACTATTTCGTTATCTGTGTTACAGAACTTGGACCCAAAGGAGTTCGAGTCAATTCTGTCAAGTATGTATAAACTCTATTGCTAAATATAATATATAATTCCACCGGTAAACCTTGCTTGAGTATCTATTTAACTCACATACGATTTTCTGAAACCAAATCGTCTGTTTTTCCCTTCGAAACCAGCCCAGGGTTTGTTCCAACAGACATCTTCCGGAGAAGCAACCTTGACCAGATGTCGGGAGGGTACGTGCCAGATGAGGTGGGTAGTACCAGATGTCGGTAGGGTACGTGCCAGATGAGGTGGGTAGTACCAGATGTCGGGAGGGTACGTGCCAGATGAGGTGGGTAGTACCAGATGAGGTGGGTAGTACCAGATGTCGGGAGGGTACGTGCCAGATGAGGTGGGTAGTACCAGTAGTACCAGATGTCAGGGTGCCAGGGAGGTACCAGATGCCAGATGAGGTGGGTAGTACCAGATGTCGGGAGGAGTAGTAGTACCAGATGAGGTGGGTAGTACCAGATGTCGGGAGGGTAGTACCAGATGTCGGGAGGGTAGTACCAGATGTCGGGAGGGTAGTACCAGATGAGGTGGGTAGTACCAGATGTCGGGAGGGTAGTACCAGATGAGGTGGGTAGTACCAGATGTCGGGAGGGTAGTACCAGATGTCGGGAGGGTAGTACCAGATGAGGTGGGTAGTACCAGAATGTGGGTGACACGGCAAGTAAACCTGTTGGGACATTATATAAGGACGTTCGGTTGTCCGCTGTGTCCCGTGCATCATGGACGGATTGTGTAAAGCCACTTAACCTTTCATACCATGCAACACCAAACAAACAGTTCCATAAGAATAATTATATAGAGAATATCCTTTCATTCAGCTGTATTTGAACAAACTTCACTCCCTGTTCATACTTCCTTTATTAAACACGGAGAACTCGACACACGGGATAGTCCGTCTGAGTCAAATCTCCCCAATGAATTGCACTCTAACTCAAAAACAAATAATCGTAAATGACTCAAATCAACGCCAAAGTAAAAAGGAAAAGCACACCAACTCTGCAGAATTTTGTTGTAATTTTTGTCAACAAAATAAAAAAGAGAGAGGCACGTGCGATGTTGTTTCATCGGTCTGCTTTATACATCAGCAGTAAACTTCATTGTGTGAGATGAATCAATCGCTCACTCAGTAGGATAAACCGTCACGTGACAAATTTGCCCGTGCCTCTCGCTTACCTGGCTGTTACCTGAGCCGTTGCTACACCCTTGTCACAAATCTTGCAGTATCGAATGAAAATAATAATGGTTTGTTAAACAACTTTTATATTTTTTTTGACAAAAATTATAATAAAATTCTGCAGAGTTGGTGTGTTTTTCCTATTTACTTTGGCGTTGGTTTGAGTCATTTACGATTATTTGTTTTTGAGTTAGAGTGCAATTCATTGGGGAGATTTGGACTCAGACGGACTGTACGGACAATGTATTCATGTCTTCGTGCACAGAACCTGATTGTATTGCTACCATTCACTAAAACATAGTCCTTCATTCGTTACTGTTCTGTCGCGTCTGGTTGTCATCATCATGTTACATATTGACGTACACTATTCACCTCCTCCAAACGACCCGATCGGATCTCGGTATAGGCTTCGCGCGACAGCTTGATTCCTGGCATTTTTCTATATCCATGCACCTGCATAGCTCTAATTGGAGTGCACTTGCGTCGGGAGACGAAAAGTGGTCTGATTGAAGTTTTGTGCAAAACACTCACTTTTGTGGTGGCTGTGGGAGCAGAATTAGCTAGTATGGAAGCGTCTAAGCAGGGTGCACCTATGCGGTGTTTTTTTCCCCATTACTATACTACTTTTGTTGAATACGAGGGCGGTGGGGTAGCCTAGTGGTTAAGGCGTTGGCTCGTCACGCCGATGGTCTGGGTTCGATTCACTACATGGGTACAATTTGTGAACCCCTTTCTGGTGTCCCTCGCCGTGATATTGCTGAAATATTGCTTAAAGCTGCGTAAAACCATACTCACTCACTTAACCAGCACGAAGGTGGCCTGTCAAATTCAAACCTGAAACAGGCAAACCAGTGGTCGATAACGTGAACAACATCGCAGTGTATAAGCAGCATATGCTGCTGGGGACGGATTCTAATCTGCGTTCATTGTCACGTGATGTTTTTATTGGACATGAGGTATAGTCCACTCTATACTCTATATGTTTATGACAGATGACAAAGGAACTGACCGCGGCCACGCCCCTCAGAAGACCAGGCTCTCCTGAACAGATTGGTCAAGTAGTCGCCTTCCTTGCGTCCGACATGGCAGCGTTCGTCACGGGAGACATTCTGTTCGCTGATGGCGGCTGGAGACTTTGACCTATGTACATGGATCGTTGATGATGAAGAGGATGACGACGACGATGACAACGCCGACGATAGTGATAATGATGGTTCTTTGCGCTTTTCCATGCTAGATATAATAATACTCAGAGCTCATCATTGCGCATGTATTGAGTACAAGGGTCATTAAACGTTCTTCAGATGACGATGTTCTTGTTTTCACATTGGTTTCACAAATACAACGTTCTCTTATACTAAATGAGCAAAATGTGTTTTAAAGTTTGTTATGAGAATAAACAACGAGCTACGAGAACCCACGTCGAGTGACGACGACCGATGAAAAGCCAAACTATTTATAGAAGAAATGGTAAACCCCATGAGCATTACAGAACAACCCTGAATTCGCTTTCTCTTATGGGGAAGAATTTAAAAACAAATACCGTTATAGTCAATTCTTTACTGTCAGTACTCACCCTCCTTGTGGATTCCGGGTATGACCAGAGACCCGTATCAGCCCATCCTGGTTGTAATAGTCAAGGAATCAAGTCGTCAGGTGCTTGGGGGTGTCATCGCTATCAACCACTTGAGGAAAGGGACCGGAATCATTTACAGGCCATGTGACAGGGGCATTGCTGAGTGCGGCGTTAAAGGAGGATACTAGACAATTGCAATAATTTGCTGGGTGAAAGATAAAGTCATCAGAAACATGTACCCCAATTTGTATTTCAAAAATATGGTTTATTATGCTTTTATCGCGAAAACAGTTTCTGTTATCATAATCCGCTTAGGTGCTTTTCACGTGATCTTTCCGCTCGTGACGTCATATGTGACTAGCGTCCGTCATATTGCCAAAGAACAAGCTTTACAGTAACACAAATCGTGTTGTTTCTGTCGTTTTTGTAAATGGTACGATGGTGTTTTCCGTTGCCAGGGGATGCACGGAATCATCGAACAATGGAAAAAGCCACGGTAAGAGTTCCGCCCGTAACCCCCGCTTGGAATGTATTCTGTTTATTATGATTATTTTAAGGGTTAGGGTTTAGGGTTTAGATTTAGCATTATGTTAGGTTACGGTAGGCTTTCTATAAAAACCATCTATTCTTACTATAAATCTTAGGCATAGAATGATAAAAAAAACCCGGGGTTACGGGCGGAAATATTTCCAGAACGACCATTTCTTACGTTTTCCAAGTAAAGAGACAGATTTAGGCAGGAGAAATGCTCCGATCATTCCGAGTCGGACGAATATGAAAGAGACATGCACACATGGGGTATGAAAATCCCAAAGCTTGGCTGAAGAAATATATCATTTATTTCCTTCAGTGTGAAGAGTGTTCACATAGTATATATACAATACAATAATTACATATTATTCCTCAAGCAATGGTCGTTGGGCATATGCGCAGTCCGTACCGTCCGCAGTCTGAACGTTCGTGGAACAGTGCTTTTTTATGTGACACCAACAGATCTCTGGTAGAATCTGTTGGCCATGCGGAACACATACTGCACACAGACTGCCGCGAAAGTGTCTCTGTCATCTGTGCACAGGTTAAAACTAGTCACACAGGATAACATGCGCAGTGTGAAATCCCAATCATTAAGGTTGTGGAGATGCACACTGAATTCCACACTACCAGTACCTATGATCTCACACCACAGTTCATCGCGGAGGTCAGTCAAGTGATCACAGTACTGGATAATATGGGTAAGAATATCTGTGTAAAACAGACCACACCTATGGCACAAGTCACTACCACCCTGGTTCTCCTTAATCACAGCACAGGTTGGCACCACAAAATTGGCTGCTGCTCTGCAGGCCGGTTTCTTCTGCGCAATCACCCAGGCTTGGTGCACACACAGGTTCGGGTGAATCTGGTGGAGCTCATGTAGTCCTGAATCCACTAATCTCTGTCTGTATGACGTCACTTCGAAGTTCATTACATACCTTTTCACAATTTTCTTCCACGCAGTCTGCTTTATTAACTGTCCCGTTTGTACATAAGACTCTAGGTGCTGATGCAAACCGTATTTATGAAGAATTCTCACAATGTCGGGAATAAAACCCGTGGACTTCTCAAACTCATGTCTGAAGCACAGAAGTCTGGTAAGAAACACCCGGTGAGGCAAATAGTGTCTCTTCATATTGATGAGTCTGCCTATATATAACAGCCTTCGAGTATCTATCACAGTCTCAACAGGACAAAGCCCTAGGAGACCAAGACAGATATCTGTCCTGGTTCTTGCTGGCAGATTTTGTATTTTCTTTACTGCATAACGGTATGCTCGTTCGAGCATGGTTATCTCATGTTTGGTGAGACCAGTCCAACGCTCACATCCATAGAGTGCCTTTGGTAGCACAGATGCTGCAAGTAACTTGCTGGCTGTCATGGGTTCATTAACTTTGAGTGGAATCCTTTCCGCAACAACACATGTGTGTTTGCTCTCAGTGTGTTACAAGCCTGCAGCACATGCTCGATGGATGACATTCTCTGTGTGAGTACTATGCCAACAGGTCTGATGATGTCAGTCTGGAGCACAGGTTCACTGTATAGTGTGATTTCCGGACGGTTGCCCATCGTGTTCGCATTATAGGGAAACGTCATGATCTCACTCTTGCTGGGAGACAGAGTGAATCGCCAGTCATTACTGTACTCCTCACACGTCTGCACAAGGCTGTTCAGAGCATGCACATTTGAGCTAACGACCGCAATGTCATCTGCTTGAGTAGGTGAGCACATATTCAGATCTAACAACATTGCACCTTTCTTGGTATCAGAGAGTTTCTTCAACAGCCCATTAATATATAACAAATACAGCTTAGCTGAAAGGACTCCACCTTGGCGAACTCCTTGTAGAAGCTCAAACACTCTAGATTTATGTTGCCCAAGTTGTACATATGATTTCATACTTGTGTACATCCTGTCAATAATAGTCCACAGCTGTCCATGAGCCCCTGCTTCATACAGTTTGTATCTGAGACCGTTATGCCAGACAGTATCGAATGCCTTCATTGTATCCAAGAAAGCAACGTGTATATCTTGTTTCCTTTCATGGTAATAATGTCTCTTGCAGACTAAATGACGCTTCTAGAGCTGACAAGCCTGTTTGATACGCCATCTGCTGTTTACTGGGAAATGTTGCCGTAGACTTCAGCGGTTGTAAGTGTTGTATCAGTGCCATTTCAAATACCTTTCCAATGACAGGACTGAGCGATATACCCCTGTAGGAGTTCGGATCTTTTCTCGATTTGTTACCCCCTTTGAATATAGGGACCATGACGGATACACACCAGTCTCTCGGAAGACTTCCTGTGTTCACAATAGCACCGAACAGACATGACAGATGAAGCATCAAACATTTCCCACCGTGTCGTAAGTGTTCATAAACCAAACCATCATATCCTGCAGCCTTCTGGTTGGGGAGTTGCGAACACAGTGCTTCTATGTCTACTGCACTAAATGAAATACATTCACCACTCTCTGTTAAACAACTCTTCCTGATGGTGTCTACTGTTTGGTTGACATGCTCTGGAAATGCCCTATTGAAATGTACTGAAGTGAGCCGACCAAGCTTCCATCACAGCATCGGGAGTGCTGTGAGTAACACCATTATATGTCTGTTTTATGAAGGACACATCCTGTTTACCATATAAGGCGCCAGGCTAGTAATCCAGCGAGCTTGGAGGTGCCGGGATCGAGCCAAACTGTGACCGGGTATAAAAACAACAACCTTGGAGTCAACTTTGTGTGCAGACTCTTTCAGTGTTGTCACAACCCCTAGTGTACAGTACACAACCCTGTGCACTTTAAAGAACCCACGAATCCGTTGGTAGATGACCAGATGGTGGCCACATGAATACGTGCAAAAACCCAGTTGCGGGTACAGCAACGTGCAGTGAACTTGGACAAAGTACTGTGACTATCTGTCCCAGTCCACCCAGCTGTGAATGGGTACCTCGTAAGGATGGAAAAGCCACATTAACTCGGTGCGATAAGTAGGCAGCAAGAGTTGTATGCTCCCCAGTGAGTTGAGATTGAAAAATACGATGTGCCGTTGTGATGGATATCCAATGATCGAGGAAAAACAAAGCGCCTTTGAGCAGTTGTAGTTGTATGCTCCCCAGTGAGTTGAGATTAGAAAAATACGATGTGCCGTTGTGATGGATATCCAATGATCGAGGAAAAACAAAGCGCCTTGTACTGACTTTGTGATATCCAGAGCGCTATACAAATGAAGGGACCTGGTGTTAGAGTCCAGAGCGCCTGTGACACAGGCGTGTTTAGTCAAAATGCCCCAATTTATTTAAAATGATTCATATAGGCCAAACATACATAGGTTTGTCAACTTTGATATTATGTTCTTAATGAAACCAGATTCGCTATTTGTCAGTAGTGTGTGCCGTGAAAGTTGTTCTGTATTCTCATTGGCTGACAAGATGTCATTCTAAGGCTATGACCAAGTACCATAACTATTTCCATAATCAAATACTTGGGAGACATACATTGTCCTGACTAGTATTTTATAATTCACCAGTTTTCGGGGAATAACTTATCTGCGTCGCGAATATTATCTCTGCTCGACCAGGCTGGGATCTTGTATGGAGACTTGATACGTTATTAATGAGAACTAGGATCCTACTTTTTTTCAACAAAATAATTCCAATGTAATTTTAGTAGCAGATGATTTCTGTTAATTACAATTCGCGTTGTTAATTACAATTCTCAATGCACATACGATTTTCCGATTTTAGATTTTCATTTTGTCTATTTCATTCTGTCTTTTGTCTAGTTCTTGTGTGTTCTGTTTGTGTTATATTTGTACTGGTGAGGTATTCACAAAAGCAAAGCTTTGCTTGTTTACCAAACCAGATTCTTTCAAGAATATAAAAATATGTTTTAACCATTTCTATTTTCCCCCGTCTGAAGCATAATTATTTTGTTTTTAAATCCAAGACACCCTACAGTCACCCATTTGACACAAAAGGAACTGCAATCACATTTAAAAAAAAATAAGTCTTAGGGACTGGTCATATATTTATAGGGGTGGGTTTGCTGGTTGGATCTGTATCACATTTTGCTGACAAATAGCTTGTTAAATGATATGGTCTATTTCTAAATTTATTTTGACCTCAAGCGGTGCCTCCGTTTCGCTTGATTCGTCTTCTTCATCTTCACTGGAAGATTGTCTTGCAAGATGTAAAATCGGATCGTATTGATACGGTCTAACATCCATTTCAGAAATGACATCAGGAACATCTTTTACTGCTTCAGAATCCATGGACACTGTTAAGTTGTGAGGTAAAATCAAAGAGGAAGCCATCAGCAACAGGCACGTACTACGTCATGTTAGCTGCTCATTAACTGTCGGGTGTTTCCGTAATAGGCGGAAATACGAGTACGTTTTTTATGTTTTTATTGCTATTTTACAAAGTTTTTAATCACGGAAGGTGACTTTTAGAATATCCTGTACAATATATCAAAAGTTTTGTTTTCGTTCATATTCTTCTTTAAGCAACATATAACAGGGTTCGAACGAACACCTTGTGTCACCTACTGATCCGAACTTACGTTGTGTCCCCATTATGTACGACATTGACAAAGTCATCAGTGAATGTAACCCCGCCTGTTAAGCAGGCAACGCATACCACGTCCCAGATTACACAGTAAGAGACCGACAGCCTTCAGGCCTTTACTTGACATTAAAACCTTCATCCACTAAATCGTCGAGTCAAGGCTCGATTTTTCACAGACCGTTGTCATATAAACTCTGTCAAAAAAAGAAACGCAACCCCTGTATTTTAGAGATTTTGATCTGAAGTTTTAGGACGACACGGCATTTTTATTATTTAAGACAGAAGTCTGAAATTTGGCAGAATAATAACCCAGATGGGCATGTTTACAATTGTCATTTCAAAAGTCATCTCACAGACACCAGTTTGTCACCAGGGGGGGCGTCTTTCTCAGTATCTCGTATGAGCACCACGCGCTGCAATCACTGCACGGCATCTCCTTGGACAAGAACGGATAAGACGCCGGATTCTTTCCTGGGGAATGGCTCTCCACTCCTCCTGCAGTGCAACGGCGAGCTGTTGCAGCGTCTGTGGCGGCGGCTGACGTTGACGTACGCGTCGATCCAGAGTATCCCACAGGTGTTCAATAGGGTTGAGGTCTGGTGATTTAGAGGGTCATGGCAAGACATTGACGTTGGAATTCTGCAGAAAGTTCATTGTTGCACGTGCAGTATGAGGCCGGGCGTTGTCCCGTTGAAAACTGTGTCTGTTGGTCAATAATCGGGAGAAGGTGAAGCTCTAACACGTGGTTGATGTAACGTTGGGCTGTCAGGTTCCCTGGAACGATCACCAAGTCTGATTTCTGGTTGTATGAGATGGTTCCCCAAACCATGACGCTTTCTCCGCCAAATCTGTCCACCTGTCGGACGCAGATGGGCGCAAAACGTTTATGACGTCTCCTATACAGACGCTGTCTTCCGTCGTGACGTTGCAAAAGAAAACGTGATTCATCAGAAACCAGATTCGCCTCCAGTTTTGTAAAGTCCGTATCCTTACGTTGTTGCACCACCTGAGTCGTCGGCGTCGATGTAGGGGGCGTAGTACAGGTCCAACAACTGGTCTACAGGCACGTAAACCCGCTTCTTTCAGACGGTTCCTAATCGTTTGAGCTGACACTCTCCTCAAACCTGGTATTTGTGTGGCAGTCACGGTTGGTAGGGCATGCCGATTACGCAGGTGATGGACCCGGATGTACCGATCTTGAAGGGGGGTCGTGATTCTTGGCCTTCCACTTCTCGGGCGATCGTTGGTCAAATTGAAGTTGTTGTAGCGGCTCCAAAGTCGGGATATCGTTGTTTTGTGAACATTTAGGTGCCGTGCAACATTTCCAAAACTTTCTCCGGCTTTAACACGACCAATGGCGATATTTCGGTCGGCAGCACTCAATCGTGGCATTTTAACACAGCTTTTCGGCGACAAATGAATGAATATAATACGGAAGCACATGGGCTTTTATACACCCTACATTAACTGCCATTTTCATGATTTGCATGTGTTTTTTTTGTGCGAAGTCACCATGAGGGTCATTTCATGCGTTGTGACGGAATAAGCAATAAAATACACTTATGCGTACAAATGCAGTTGTTTGGATGGTAATCTTCATTAATTACGTGTATCATTTCAATACATTCGAATAAAATTTAGTTTGGAAGCAATAACTTCATTCAAACGAATTTTTCATATCTGAGGACAGGGGTTGCGTTTCTTTTTTGACAGAGTTTATATAGCTGGAGTGTTTCGTAAATAGCAAAGTAACAAACAAATAATTGCTCCTGGTGTAATTATGTAGCCAGTCTGTCTTCCACATGCACTAGGCTGTTGAGTTTGGGCGTTTGAATCAAACATGGTGCTGGTGTGTTTCAGCACCCTTGTTTTTCGCTGTTTTTGAACAATGTTTCATTTCACTCAAACTCAACGAATATTGAATCAGTTGCTTCACTGCATGTTCCAACATGTCGTTTAAAGTGCCCACTAAGCACACAAACAGTTGCATTTACCTGAGGGTATCAATGATCTCACCACCACCTCAAGTTTACATATAACTATCAAATTTTAGGGTGTTCCCATACTTTTTGTTTGTAGTATATGTACATAAAACATAGCTAGTGCTTTAAGTGAGTATGAACTTTTGATGGGTAGTATATTAAGACCGCAAGTATAGCAGCGACGGACAATTTGAGCGTATTTTCATCTGAATGGGACAAATTAAAGAGCTGCAAGGGTCTCCTGAAACCTGTGACGAACTTTCCCTGAAACATCTCCAACGCTTATGATTGCACGTTTCCCGCTTTTTCACCAGACTTGACATTTTCAGCAGATGTATACCCTGACGTCCAAATGGAATGTTAGAAACCAAACTGGACCTCACTGTCTGCTGCGTTTCTGCGTATGCACAGTTGTCCAGTCTACTATTCGTAGTGCTTAGACGAGGCACTAGTTTTAAAATGACTGTGAGATTACGATCAATTCATTTACCAAATATGCATTTTCTAAGTGAATGTATAGCCTCGTATAATTAAACAAATATTAGTGTGATAATATCACATCACTTTTTGGTCAGATGAGTCAAAACAGAAAAGTAAGCTTTAGACTGACACAATATCCATTTCTATGATGGAGGTCATGTCCAACTTTCTTTCAAAAGGCGTTTCATCAGAGTTACAACTCCATTTAAAGGCAGCTTCAAATAAAGGTTTTAAAAACATTTTTTAAGACATGAGCAAGTCCCAGTTTAACGCATCACTGATCGAAAATATGTTTCGTGTCATTGCATTATCCATGTATATTCTAGGGGTTTTTACGTGCACAATTGACTTGCCTTTGTACCTGTTTTTTCACATATGCCACCGATGGTGAGGTGAGGTGAGGTGAAATGGAGTTTAACGTCGCACCTAAGAATATTTCGCTCATATTACGACGTGCATGTGTGTGTATGTGTGGCTGCTTCTACTAGCCCAGACTTAAGCTGGTTTTATAGTGCGGATCGAAACCTGACCTGCCGCTCTCCGGGCGGACGCTTTTACCAATACTCCACGGAGGCGGTTTGCCACCAATGGGCAGGATACACCTTGTCACCGTTATTTGATAGTATTTGGGGCGGTGGGGTAGCCTAGTTTTGTCATTCGTAGACACTTCCAACTTACAAAACGTGACCGTACTAGTCTTCTTTAGGCTTCGTCGTATGTACGTCTGGATTCGTAAAAAATCTAATTCACACATAATTGTATCGTGTCAAGGTACCACTTTATCGAATGTCAAACAACATATCAAGGTCGAGGTCATATTAATTCAGGTAAGTTATTCCATATACGTTAAATTAATCAGGGAGGAAGGGAATGGTGATAGAGTAGTTTAAAGTTGGGAGAAACAAACGGAGAGTATGTGTTGACAATTTAACCAAGGCACAGTCCGGGTTTGAACCCATGACACCTATGATATGTCATGATGCCGCACACTGCTGACCTTCTTGAGCATTTATGTAAGCGTGCTGAAATGGTAAGTCAGGCGTCAATTAGATACGGTCAAAAGCTGACATGTGGAGAATTTGCTATGTGCATTTAGACCTTGAATCATATGGGTTTGACCAGCACACGGGCCGGAGCTGTACAGTCACGTGCTCTGCCAAAGCACATGACTTCAGCTGAAACACCAGATACGGCTTTACTGAACGAGACCGAACACTCATTTCTGGAATGGTTTCTCCATTATACAGCCACAAGGTGTGATTTAAGGCATTCAGGTTTTTCGCAGTGAGAGTGATTGTGCATCATGGCTGTCAACATTGCTGGGTTAATCTCTGTCCTGGTGTTCTATATTCTCATCCTCGTCATTGGCATCTACGCCGGAAGGAAGAGCAGCAAGTCAAAGAGTCTAACAGAGATCTTCCTGGCAGACAGAAAGATGGGCACCGTTGTGTCCCTGTTCACTATCACAGGTAAGATTCCCTCGTCAGGTGTTGTTGTCACATAACCCCGTGTCTCTGCGGAAGCTGCCGGGAAAGGTTGTTTTTGTTGTTTGACAATACAATCCAGTGATCAACATCATGAGCGTCGTTCCACGCAACGGGATAGGATGACATATGTCAACCAAGTTTGTGAGCCTGGCCACCCCATCCCGTTAGTCGCCTCTTACAACCAGCATGATTTGCAGAAGATCAATTCTAACCCGGATCTTTACTGGTCAACTGGGACAGGTGTCCCCATGATCTGCTTCAAGGCGACCTTAGCTGTGCTTGCTTGCAGGCTTATGACCCGCTATGCTTTGAATAAGTCCTAAAATGTCCTATGAAGTATATTGGGCGGTGGGATAGTCTAGTGGGTAATGCGTTCGTTCTGCACGCCGAAGACCCGGTTTCGACAGATTCAGAACCTGAGGAAATCTAGACTTGCTTCATTTAGGGCTTTAGCATTGCAGAGAGGGCTAGGCAGTAGGGAAAATAATGTCGTTCAGGGACTGTAAGACAGACTACGGGTTCGATTCCCCACATTAGTACAATGTGTGAAGCCCATTTCTGGTGTCCCCTGCCGTGATATTACTGGAATATTGCTAAAGGCGGCGTAAAACTAAACTCACTCACTCATGGTGAAGTATAACGATGTGTTTGTGATTCGATTGTGTACATGCATATACCTGGTACCGCCACTCTTTGAAATACAACAACCTTGCTATTTAACTCATTCGGCTACTGTTACGTTAACTTACCAGCTGTCTCGTGTTGATTTGTACAGGTAAGACAGTACAGGCAAGAGAGTACAGGTAAGACAGTACAGGCAAGGCAGTACAGAGCAAGGTAAGAGGAGTACAGGCATGAGTGAGGTACAGACATGAGGTAGGAGTAAGACAGTACAGGCAAGACAGAACAGGCAAGACAGTACAGGCATGAGAGTACAGGTAAGACAGTACAGGCAAGACAGTACAGGTAAGACAGTACAGGCAAGACAGTACAGGCAAAACAGAACAGGCAAGACAGTACAGGCAAGAGAGTACAGGTAAGACAGTACAGGCAAGACAGTACAGGTAAGACAGTACAGGCAAGACAGTACAGGTAAGACAGTACAGGCAAGACAGTACAGGCAAGACAGTACAGGTAAGACAGTACAGGCAAGACAGTACAGGCAAGACAGTTACAGGCATGAGAGGAGTACAGGTAAGACAGTACAGGCAAGACAGTACAGGCAAGACAGTACAGGCAAGACAGTACAGGCAAGACAGTACAGGCAAGACAGTACAGGCAAGACAGTACAGGCAAGACAGTACAGGTAAGACAGTACAGGCAAGACAGTACAGGTAAGACAGTACAGGCAAGACAGTACAGGCAAGACAGTACAGGCAAGACAGTACAGGCAAGACAGTACAGGCAAGACAGTACATGTAAGACAGTACAGGCAAGACAGTACAGGCAAGACAGTACAGGTATGACAGTACAGGCAAGACAGTACAGGCAAGACAGTACAGGTAAGACAGAACAGGTGAGACAGTACATGCAGACAGTAGAGGCAAGACAGTACAGGCAAGACAGTACAGGCAAGACAGTTCATGTAAGACAGTACAGGTAAGACAGTACAGGTAAGACAGTACAAGCAAGACGGTACAGGTAAAAGAGTACAGGTAAGACAGTAGAGGCAAGACAGTACAGGCAAGACAGTACAGGTAGGACAGTACAGGTAAGACAGTAGAGGCAAGACAGTACAGGCAAGACAGTACATGCAAGACAGTACATGCAAGACAGTACAGGCAAGACAGTACAGGCAAGACAGTACGGGCAAGACAGTACAGGCAAGACAGTACAGGTAGGACAGTACAGATAAGACAGTACAGGCAAGACAGTACAGGCAAGACAGTACATGCAAGACAGTACAGGCAAGACAGTACAGGCAAGACAGTACAGGCAAGACAGTACAGGCAAGACAGTTCATGTAAGACAGTACAGGCAAGACAGTACAGGCAAGACAGTACAGGCAAGACAGTACAGGTAGGACAGTACAGGTAAGACAGTAGAGGCAAGACAGTACAGGCAAGACAGTACAGGCAAGACAGTACAGGCAAGACAGTTCATGTAAGACAGTACAGGTAAGACAGTACAAGCAAGACGGTACAGGTAAAAGAGTACAGGTAAGACAGTACAGGTAGGACAGTACAGGTAAGACAGTAGAGGCAAGACAGTACAGGCAAGACAGTACAGGCAAGACAGTACAGGCAAGACAGTACAGGCAAGACAGTACAGGCAAGACAGTACAGGTAAGACAGTACAGGCAAGACAGTACAGGTAAGACAGTACAGGCAAGACAGTACAGGCAAGACAGTTCAAAGACAGTACAGGCAAGACAGTACAGGCAAGACAGTACAGGCAAGACAGTACAGGTAAGACAGTACAGGTAAGACAGTACAAGCAAGACGGTACAGGTAAGAGCACAGGTAAGACAGTACAGGTAGGACAGTACAGGTAAGGCAGTAGAGGCAAGACAGTACAGGTAAGACAGTACAGGTAAGACAGTACAGGCAAGACAGTACAGGCAAGACAGCACAGGCAAGACAGTACAGGTAGGACAGGTACAGGTAAGACAGTAGAGGCAAGACAGTAGAGGGCAAGACAGTACAGGCAAGAGACAGTACAGGCAAGACAGTTACAGGCAAGACAGTTCATGTAAGACAGTACAGGTAAGACAGTACAGGTAAGACAGTACAGGTAAGACGGTACAGGTAAAGAGTACAGGTAAGACAGTACAGGTAAGACAGTACAGGTAAGACAGTACAGGCAAGACAGTACAGGCAAGACAGTACATGCAAGACAGTACAGGCAAGACAGTACAGGTAAGACAGTACATGTAAGACAGTACAGGTAAGACAGTACAGGTAAGACAGTACAGGCAATACAGTACAGGCAAGACAGTACAGGCAAGACAGTACAGGCAATACAGTGCAGGCAAGACAGTCCAGGTAAGACAGTACAGGCAAGACAGTACAGGTAGGACAGTACAGGCAATACAGTGCAGGCAAGACAGTACAGGTAAGACAGTACAGGCAAGACAGTACAGGTAAGACAGTACAGGCAAGACAGTGCAGGCAATACAGTACAGGTAAGACAGTACAGGTAAGAGATGGTGATGTGTCACTCGATATAGTCGGCACATGACTAGTTACAGGGCTATGGTGGGAATATCAATATTACCCTGTATCGATAAGTTTTCCGTGTATTTCTTCAGCCACATGGGTAGGAGGCGGGTTCATCAACGGCACTGCTGAGATAATGTCACTCCAGGGCTTAGCGTGGACTCAAGGTCCATTCGGCTATTCTGCCTCTCTGTTCATCAGTAAGTATGGGTACTATGTTAACTGCTATTTAAAGGCACGGTGTCACACCACATTTCTCTAAAAAGGCTATCAGCCCTCACGGAATCTAACACATAACTTATTCCCCCAAAATTATGTATTCAGATTACAATATTAAATAATAAAGTTCGAATGAATTAATGCAACGTTGCGTTAAATCGGCTTTAGCGCCCTCTACCGACCGAACATTATTTCAAGCGAACCCCTTGGAGCGCTCTTTACGAATATCACATAACGCAACTTATGTGACAAATATGTGACATTGTGCCTTTAAGAATCACAGTAAGAAAGTAAGTAAGCAAAAGTAGAAATAGAAGTAGAGTAGAGAAGTAAAGTAGAAGTAAATTGAGTAGAGGTTAGAGTGGGAAGTAGAAGTGAAGTAAAGGAAGTAGAGTAGTGAAGTAGAGTAAAAGTAGGGTAGTAAGTAAGAAATTAAGGTAAGAAGTGAAGTGAAGAGTAAAGTGTAGAGTAAAGTAGAGTAGAGGTGTGAGATTGAGAGTAAAGAGTGAGTAGAGTGAAGTGAAATGAAGTGGGGAGGTAAGTAAGGGTAGGTGGAAGTGGAACAGGTAGATGTGTGAGAGTGGGGAGAGTAGGTAGGTGGAAGTGGTGGGTAGGTAGGTGGAGTGGAAGTGAGTGAGTGGGGAATTAGAATTGGTAAGTGAAGTGAGAGGTGGGGTGAGTGTGAGAGTGAGTGTGAGGTGGTGGGGTGGTGTGGGGTGGGAGTGGAAGTGGAGTAAAGAGTAAAGTGGAAAAGTGGGGTGGAGTAAGGTAGGTGGGGTAAAGAGTGGGGTAGTGAAGTGAAGAGTGGAGTGGGGAGTAGGTGGGGAGTGGGTGGGGAAGTAGAGGTAGGTGAAGTAGAAATTAGGTAAAGTGATGGGAAATTGAAGAGTAGGTTGAGTGGAGTAGATATGTAAGTGGTGTAAAAGTGGTAAGAGTGGTGGAAATTAATGAGTGGGGAAGTAGGGTAAAATTAGAGTAAAGTTAGAGTGTTAAGTGAAATTAAAGAGTGAAAGTAAAGGTGGAAGTGGGGTTGGGTGAAGTAGGTAGGTAGTGAGATGTGAAATTGAAGTAAGAGTAGAGTAAGGTAAGGTAAAGTAAGAGTGAAGTGGCAGTGGAGTGAAGTAAGTGGGAGTAGAGGTAGAAGTAGAGTGGGAGTAAGAAATTAGAGTAGAAATGGGAGTATGTAGAGTGAAGTAAGTAAGTAAAGAAGAGTAGAGTAAGCAAGAGTAAGAGTAAGAAGTAAAGAGTAAGTGAAATTAGTGTGAGTAAGTGCGAGTGTGTAAGAGTGCAAGTGCAAGTAAGCAAGCAGAGTGGAGTAGTAGAGTGCGGTGAAGTAGAGTAAGTAGAGCAAGTGAGAGTAAAGTAAAAGAGAGTAAGGGTAAAATAAAGTAAGTAGAGTAAGAGTAAAGTAGGGAGTAAGAGTAGTAAGTAAGGTAGAAAGTAAGTAGAAATGAAAGTAGAAGTAAGTAGAGTAAGTAAGTAGCAAAGTAGAAATGAAGTAAGAGTAAGCAAAAGTAAGTAAAGTAAGAAAGGCAAGTAAAGAAGTAAGTAAAAGTATTAAAAAGTAAGAAGTAAGTAAGAAGTAAGTAAGAAGTAAGTAAGTAAAAGAAAGTAAGTAAGTAGAAATGTAAGTGTGAAATGAGTTAAAAGTAAAATTAAACAATGAAATAAAATGTAAATTAAGTAAGTGAAGTAGAAGTAGAAAAAAAGAAATAGAAGTATGTAGAGTAAAAGTAAGAAGTAATGAAGTAGAGTAAGTGAAATAAAGTAAGTAGAAATTAAAGTGAAGTAAGTAGAATAAAAGTGTAAATGTAAGTGAGTAAGTAAGAAAAGAGTAAAGTAAGTAAGGGAAAAGTAAGAGTAAGTAAAAGAAGTAGAGTAGTAAGAAGTAAGAAGTAAGAGGTAGAAGTAAGTGAAGTAGAGTAAGTAAAGTAAGTAAGTGTAAGTAAGTAGAGTAAAAGTGGAAGAGTAAAGTAGAGTAGATGTAAGAGTAAAAAATGGAGTTAGGAAGTAAGTGAAGTAAGGTGGGTGAAGTAGGTAAGAAGTAGTATGTAAGTGAAATTAAATTAAAAGTGAGTAAGAGTGAAAGTAAAAGTTAAAGTAGGTAAGTGTAAATTAAAAGTGAAGTAAGAGTTAGTAGGTAAGAAATAAGTAGTGTAAGTAAGAGTAAGTAAGTATGTAAGTAAGAGTAAGTTGTGGTAAGTAAGTAGAAGTAGTGGAGTAAAAGTAGTGAAGTGAGTAGGGAAATTAAGTGGGGTAAAGTAGAGTGAAAAAATTATGTGAGTAAGTGGGTAAGTATTAAGAGTAGAGTAAGTAAGTAGAAGTGGAGTAAAGTGGGTAAGAAGTAAGTGGTGAAGTAAAAGTGAGATGGTGTAAGTAGAAATTAAGTAGAGTAAAGTTAAGAAAAGTAGTGAGTGAAGTGGAAGTAGAAGTGAGTGAGTAAGTAGGTAAGTATGAAAGTGAAGGTGGGGTAAAAATGAAGTGGAGTAGAGTGGGGAATTGAAGTGGAGTAAAAGTTAGTGTAGAAGTAGGTAAGTAGTAAGTGAAGTGAAGTAGGAAGTAAGTAAGTAGAGTAGAGTAGAGTGATGAGTAAGGTAGTGTAAGAGTGGAAGTGAGAGGTAAGAGTGAAGTAGGTAAAAGTAAGTAAGTGAAGTAAGAAGTGAAGTGAAGTGGAGAGTAAGTGAAGTAGAATTAGTGAGTGGAGTAAGTAAGAGTAGAGTAGTGAAAATTAAGAAAAATTAAAGTAAAGAGTAAGTAGTGGAGTAAAGTGAAGTGAGGTAAGTAGAAGTGTAAGAAGTGAAGTGAAATATTAGGTGGGAGTGAGTAGGTAAAATTAAAGTGGGGTAGGTAAGTGGTAAGAGTGAAGTAGAGTAAAAGTGAAGTGGGAGTAGAGGGAGTGAAGTGAAGAGTAGTGAGTGAAGTAGAGTAGAAGAGTAAGTGAGTAAGTAGGTAAGAAGTAGAGTGAAGTGGGAGTAGGTGGAGTGAGAGTAGGTAAGAGAGTGAGTAGGTAGAGTAAAGTAAGAGTAGGTAAGGTAGTAGAAGTGGGAGTGAAGTGGGTAAAAGTGGAAGTGGGATGGCCTCCCGTGGTGTAGTGTGGTGGTGAAGAGCGTCCGCCCGGAGAGCGGAAGGTCGCGGGTTCGATCCCCGACCGCGTCATACCAAAAGACGTTAAAATATGGTACTTGGCATTGTATCTCAGTGGGCTAGCACTATAAAACCAGCTTCAGTCTGGGCTAGTACAAGCAGCCGCACATACACATACACACGCCTGCACGGCGTCATATGAGCGAAATATTCTCAAGCACGACGTTAAACCCAATTTCACCGCACCTCACCTTATTAAAAACTTCACACAAGGCAACACGATTCTGTTAGTTATGTTCATTGTACTCTCGGTGTGACGATACATATTTTTCATGATTTTAAAAACAATCACATAATACCATAATCAATTGAAGTTCTCGGGATTATTTTTATCAAAGCTCACAATCATTGCGCGCGTACTTATTGGTTTGTCGCATTTTCATCGAGAGGGGTGAGTGTTCTTGGAAGTTACGATGGGCGAATGGTGACGAATGTCATTACGCGCGTTCTGATTGGTTTGTCGCATTTTCGCACATATCAAGCATCGAGAAGGGGACGAGTCTACTTTGAAGTTACGGAAAGGGGCGAGTGGTGACGAATGGTATCGTTGTAGGTGGCTACTTCTTTTGCCCAAAGATGAGACGTGCCAACTACGTGACCATGTTCGACCCCTTCCAGGACAGATACGGCACACGTGTCGGTGCACTCATGTGCATCCCCCAGTTCCTTGCGGATCTCTTTTGGGCGGCAGCCATTCTCTCGGCCCTAGGTAAGTCAAACATATTAGGAAGCGGATGTTTTAGTAGAGGTATGACACAAACAGTCTAGCATTTTACAAACAATAACTGGTCCCAAGGCATAATAGGATATTGCCTAAAGTGATCGACAGTAACTCCTAACTTAAACATAAGCTTAACCCATTTATGCATATCGTCCCTTTTTGGGACGGGTACTTCAAAAAAGCATTTGTCTCCTATTGTTGAAGATAGAAACTTGCAGAATAGACATGAATGAAGCTGAGTAAATTGTTTAGTTGTTGAACCATTTACATTACTTGTAGAGTTTAAGTTCTTTAAGCATGGCCACTTTCTGTGGTAAGGCAGGTCCCCTGCCAATTCGGCGAAGTGTGAGGTAAGATGATTTTTTTTATTGGTCCCTATTTTAACTATGTAAGTTCATTAGATTGTGTTTAAAACTTTCGTTGTTCAAATAGAAAAATAAAATGAAAATGGTTTGCTTTTTTTCCAAACTCAATTTTCCGCCAAAGTACCGCCCCAAAAATGGGACAATATGCAGATGAGTGAACTTAAATTGGTAATATATTTGGCTTAGGTGGGGGACATCAACCTCTTTAATCTTAGAATTGACTGTTTTCATTTGAAAGCTTTCATCGTTTAAAACCAAACTGGCTTTTATATGAAACTATGTTTATTAACAAATTGAAAACTGAACATTTCATGCGCATTCTTTATAAAACATCATTTATTGGACACACTTTTGCAGTGCAAAACAAGTATGGAAAAAATCATTTACTGCAAAATGACACCTCATTCCTTTCATTGCTTGCCAAAAGAAACCAGCTCGCAAAATCTGATCATATCTAAGGCCCTATGCATAAATGGGTTAAGACAGTTGTATCGCTAAGCCAGCCTATTGTTATTATTATTTATTACCTACAAGGGCGAAATATCGGGGTTCATATTTTTCACATGATGCATAGGGCGAAATATCACTTTGTCATGGCGAATGACTATGCAATGACGTCACGTTTCTTCTGTAACGTTGCGTTCTACATGCTGCGACGGCGGGTAGCCATCCTATGTTTGAAAGTAGATTTGGGTTTATTTTCCTTAGTTTGATGACTTCGGTAATATAATATAATAAATAAATAAAACGAGGATATCCTATCAGTTCCGAAATCATACCATGTTTACGACACTTGTGCCTAAATATCGGTATTTATCTTACCTCACACATAAATGTCGCTTTCTGATTGGCTGAGCGCTCTTCTATTATTTTCAATGTACCCCGCTTACAAGCGAGTAACATTTCAATGTACCCCGCTGTCAATGGCAACTCATTTGGTACTTCATGGTAGTAATTCTTTATCTCGAATAACATTGAATTACGTATGATGTACGGAAATTACCGATGTTTTGCAAATGCAAATTGATGGAAGGGAGATAACTCTAAATCTGTTTTTCTTGTCAGCAAAATCTAGCGATGGCTACAAAAAGATTTGTACCAGTGCTTCAAACAATTCAAAATTAACATTAAGGTGTTCGGTAAGGGAACATAAACAAATATCGAGGGTACATCAACCCATGCCCCCCTCGTGACCAGTGAACAACTTATAATATCTCAACTCGACGGTGTTCATTACTAAGCCTGTGTTACTTTGCACTTTGTGGGGCCTTGGTAGTTCGCCATCTCTCGAACAGGATCCACCGTACATATCATCCTGGACATGGACAAGACGCTGTCCATCGTCATGTCTGCAGTCATCGCCGTCCTGTACACCTTCCTGGGTGGACTCTGGTCAGTCGCTTGGACGGACGTTGTTCAGCTCATCTGCCTGGCCGTGGGTCTGGTGAGTGACGAGGGGAGTGAGTTAATGAGTGAGTTTTGTTTTACGCCGCACTCAGCAATATTCCAACTATATGGCGGCGGTCTGTAAGTAATCGAGTCTGGAGCAGACATTCCCGTGATCTACGGCATGAACATCGATCTACGCAATTAGGATACGATGACGCAGTTGGGATACGATGACATGTGTCAATCAAGTCACCGAGCCTGGCCACCCCATTCCGTTAGTCGCCTCTTACGACAAGCATGGGTTGCTGAAGATCAGTTCTAACCCTGATCTTCACGGGTATCATGTCAAAGAAGGATCAATCACGCATTTATAACCCATGAAGAGCCGGGTTAGAATTAATCTTCAGCAACCCATGCTTGTCATAAGAGTCGTACAGCTAATGGGAAGTTGTGGTTTGGCTCACGGACTTGGTTGATGCACGTCATCGTATGCTAACCGCGTAGATCGATGCTCATGGTAGCTTGGGGTCAGTCACTGGATTGACTGGTCCAGACTAGGTTATTTACAGGGCGGCGTTAAACAACTAACAACCAAGCACACAGTAAGAGGTGCTTATCTTCCTAAAACGTACCACTGCATAATCATATGCGTAAACCACACACCGTGTGTCTGTAATAGCTTCATGCACATATAGTGTCTGTCTGTTCCTACGTTAACTCTGTGTCGTAACTAACATATAATATACTCATGCCAATAATGGTTGTCACCCCCTTCAATTTTTTTTAATTGGAGAGGGGGTGTGGGGTGGGGGTGTGAGGAGTGTGTGGAGTTGGGGTGGGGAGGGGGCTGACAACCATTATTGGCATGAGTATATAATACAGAATTCGTGTGATATTATGTCATCAGCCGGCATGGCAAAACTTACACAGACGGCAGAATATATATCTCTTAGGCATACGGCCTTGTCCCTTCGTCAATCCGGGATCGGGTGGTCAGGCTCGCTGACTTGGTTGACACATGTCATCGTATCCCAATTGCGTAGATCGATGCTCATGCTGTCACTGTTTGACCTGAAGACCCGTGAAGATCCTGGTTAGAATATTGATCTTCAGTAACCCATGCTTGTCGTAAGAGGCGACTAACGGGATCGGGTGGTCAGGCTCGCTGACTTGGTTGACACATGTCATCGGTTCCCGGTTGCGCAGATCGATGCTAATGGATTGTCTGGTCCAGACTCGATTATTTACAGACCGCCGCCATATAGCTGGAATATTGCTGAGTGCGGCGTAAAACAAAACTCACTCACTCTTTAACCTTACATTAGCATTGTGGCACTGGCAGTTATAACGTTATCAACATTGCCCTTTAATACATATTTAGAATATATCTCAGCTATCCATTCTTCATTAACAAGGGCGTACACTAAACGAATAGGCCCCAAACACACCTTGTCTCCTGGCGTTTGTCTGTGATTCGGAACAAATAGAATACATTTTGTATGGTCCACCGACAACCCTCCATGTGTCACATTTCTCCAATACATTACAGGTTCACTGCATGCAAAGTACAGTATCCCTGTATACGACCTGAACAATCCCTGGTATTTTCTGACAGGCAATAGCTGCTCCATTCGCCCTGATGCATCCGGCGGTTGACCTCACCAGTATTCAAGACACATGGCAAGGGGAGATAACTCCTGGACAGATAGGAATTTTCATTGACGTCTACTGTCTCATCGTCCTAGGAGGTACAACGTGGCAGGTCTGAGAAAAACCCCAGATTAATTTCATTCATTTTATTAATTGACTCGCACTGAGACGCTGTTGGTCTCCCTTGTGTGGGTGCTGTCGTGACTTTACTAGTCACGTGACAATTATAGTCTTTGCCCTGACGTTTTATGTATTATTTGTGAAAAAACAGACATACAATTTTCCTCAAACTAAAATCCTTCTATTTCACCTTCATTTCAGTATGTTAACATCTGATTGGTGCATGTGATCTAAATAAAATAATATATTTTAAAGGGAGATAATAAATCCTGATACACGTGGATTTCTCTTTCACCCACCACCATAAAAACACCAAACACACACAACCAAGCCATAGCTGCTGTGTTCAGAAAACGATTGTCATTCAAGCCGGCAGTTTATGCCCGAATGCATGCATGATTCGCTCATATGACGACGTGTATGCCCGAATGCATGCATGATGCACGTTTATCTCGATTTCAATGTTGTGTTTGTGCGAACTTTTCCCTTTCCACGAACAATAATTTTTCAAACCTCAATCTCAAACAATACTTTATTGGGCAATACAGGCTATACGACCACGATTCATGTTTTCTTCAAACTTGACTTCCGGGGTATTTAAAACAAAATAGGTTCAAATACTCCATTGATACTTAAATGTCATTTCCAATATAACGTTTATTTTGCCTTTCAGTAATATGATTAATTGTGCGCGCTGAAGACTTGTTCATGGAGGTCACCATATTTTTGTAGGTAGAGAGCTAAGGGAGGTAATTTGCGATGACTTATGCTTGCGTATGATGTGCTAAAGATCGGCGCGTGGGCAAATATTCGAACGTCTTTATGCGTCCGCTTGTCACGCTGAAGACCTGGGTGCGATTCCCCACATTTATACAATGTGTGAAACCCATCTCCGATGTCCACCGCCGTGATATTGCTGGAGTATTGCTGAAAGCGGCTCAAAACCATACTCACTCACTCACTCTTTGATAATTGTCGACTAGGGAAATCCATTGCAGCAGTATTACTTGGGATATACACAGGTTTTATGCAACCTCCGACTCTTGGTATTATATCAAACGTGACGCATAAAACCAAACATACCGAGGGTTCCATGATAGAAACAGAAGGGATCGTCCCCTCTTTTGAAAGTATTTTACTGCCTTGACCAGAAGTTCAAAGCGAACAATTTTAATATGAAAATCAAATTATGAACGTCAATGTTTATTTCAGGAGCTATATCAGCGGGCACTTGCCTGTCGAACCCCCCGAGCAGGCTAGGTCGTCCACCATGATTGCCGGCATCTTCTGCCTGCTGCTGTCGGTTCCACCGGCAATTATCGGCGTCGCTGGAGCAGCAGCTGGTAAGCAGTTATTTCGAGTATTTTCTAATCTGTGACGAATTTAACTGATATACATGCAACTCATTGCCATAACGTTACCTCCTCCACCGTGGATAAACTGCAGATGTTACTTCAGACCAGAAATACCATAGAGGTCACACCGCTTTTCTTGAACTACGACACGGTTAAGAGAATGGGATCTTGAGGTTAGCATCTCCTAATGAATTCTTTAATACCTCGATATCCTGATGATGGTACAGATTGGAACGCTACGTCGTACACTGGAGAAGTCCCGATCCCCCCAAGCCAGATGGGAATGATCCTTCCCCTGTCTCTCCAGTATCTGTGCCCCACCCCCGTCGCCGTCGTTGGTCTGGGTGCCGTCTCCGCTGCAGTCATGTCCTCTACAGACTCTACTGTTCTCGTCACCTCGTCAGTCTTCACCAAGAATATCTACAAGACTCTCATTCGCACTAGGGTAAGCTTTAACATTGACGTGGATGGTACTCTAAATATCATACCATTAGACTGAAGCTGAATAACGGCAATGCAAAGTATGAATGAATACCAGGATGTTATTTGGATATGTATAGTTCTATAATTTGAAAAGTTAAAAACAGTTACTCTCCCCAGTTAAAACTTCTAGGGCCGAAACCCGTCAGTTTAAAGGCACTACCGGTATATGACACTTCACTTCTCTAAAAATAAATAATGCATTTTTCTCAAAAATAGTAACTATCAGCCCCCAGGGGGGCGAACATATAATTTATTAAAACCAATACATAAATACGTGTTTACATTACAATATTAAAATGAAAAAGTTGGAATGAATTAATGCAACGTTGCATTAAATCGACTCTCACGTCCTCTACACGCTGAACTTTTTAAGCGAACCCCATAGAGTTATATCCCTTGGAGCGCTCTTTACGAATGTCCTCAGCACAACTTGTCATTGAAACCAGTCCGGCAAACACCGACAACACTGCATGCGAAAGTTTTCGATGTACGGAGCAATTGTTTCCATTCCATATGTGGCATGTGTTCTCTGTCTGGAAGCTGTTTCAATTATAGATTTCAGGCAAGTCGTAAGGGATAATAAGTCTTTTATTGCATCAATAGGAAGCTAAAGTGAGTGCATATGCCCCAATATATATAATATAGGCCACAATATTGCCTTCAAGTAATAGTGAGGTAAGAGACATATTAAGTTGTACCAGTATTAAGGGGCGTATGTATGCTTAAATTAGTCCCTTTCTATGGTGTGTTCCGAATGAATAATGGCAACTGCGGAGTTTTCTAATACCCTTGGTATAATGACCATATCGATAACAAGGTGTTTGAGAAGACTCCGCAGTTACCGTTATTCAACTAGAACAAATTTCTGAAGAGTGAATTCTCCGCCAGGAAAGTTTTGGACAAAATGTACTCTTCATGTTGTACTCTCGGTTGACGTGCTGTGACATTCGTGACCAGAGCTACAGATAAAACTTTTGGGGTCATTGAGTTATGTACTCGCTTGTGTTATCCTGGGTGTCCTAATTTTCCTTTGATTAACCAAATAAATTGTACCCACCTCACTCAAACTTCATTGGATATTTTGCCATTTTTCATTACTTGTAAAAATATATTTAAATTTTGTTGGTGTTGGTTTACGTGTTTGTGTTATATATATATATATATATATATATATATATATATATAGTTGATCTGTAATAAGAGAAACGATAAAAAAGACTGCAAGTTTCCAAGTTCATGTGCTGAAATAGAACCTCTCAATATTTCTCAGTTATTTTATCCATCTACCGGTACGCAAACTAAGCTTTGACATTTGTGTGTGTACACATGTAAGTAAGCCATTAAACAGCTGATTGAAAAACAAATATAATCTGAAGTTATCTCCCTTGGACCCCAGAAGGTTTCGTTGAATGTTATCGAAATACAGCTTGGCCAAGCAAACAAGGTCTCGATAATAAACTACATTTCCATATATCCGTTTGATATATATATTGGAACATATTTACAATTGAGAGTTGACTTTTCACTTAACGTTAACCACATAGAAATTTAGAAAATTGACGTCACAGCGTTACAATACCTTGGAACATTTTAACACCCTTTTGGTCATGTGCTTTCGTTGCTTTAGGTTGATGGCAGTCTCTATAGTCTTTTAAATTAGTTTCAACTGTCTCCAGATCGACATCTTCGTCCTGATAATCCATGTTTCCTTAACTCAGAATATCATTTAAGACATTCGAATTCATGTCAAAAACAGTCTTAATGTTTCCTAGATGATGCTTACATCGTTTTTAAGTTTATGCATCCATAAATGTCCCAAAAGTCGTTATTAAATGTAGATTAATTTATGTACATATCCAGACCATGACGTCAGAATGCAATGACGTCATACTATTTTGATGACAAAACTGCAGTGAACGTAAAGGCACATATCTGGAGCGATGTTGTAGGTAAGATGGTCGAGTTCACAGCATGTTCTGCACTCCCAAACATGATCTAAACAGACTTCTTCAAAATGTTGTGATTTCATTTACTGAATCGCGTTGCAGGCTTCTCCTCGAGAAATGATGTGGGTAATGAGACTGGCTATCATTGTGGCCGGAACACTAGCTACCATACTGGCCATTGTGGGGAAGAGCGTCTACGGTCTGTTCGTCCTCTCCTCCGACCTCATGTACGTCATCCTCTTCCCCCAGTTTATCAGCGTCATGTACTCGAAAACCGTTAACGCCTACGGGTCTCTAGTTGGCTTCATCATAGGATTTGTAGTCCGCATAGGGGCTGGGGAGCCTCTCATCAACCTCCCGATCTTCATCACCTTCCCATTCTATACAGAGACAGACGGTCAGAGGTTCCCCTACAGAACCTTCATCTGTGTCATCACGTTCGGTGTCATATACTGCGTGTCTCGGTTGGCGGATGTCTTGTTTGACAAAGGAATTCTTCCGCAAAAGTTCGATGTTTTAAAACGGCCAAGGAACATACCACATGGTGAGGCTGCAGAGGTTGAAGAGATGCTTGACAAATAATCAACGTCTCACACATCAGACGGTGGTGCGTTTGAGACCAGCGTTGAAGCAAAACTGTTCCAAGAATTAACAATGTTTGCAATTTTAAGATGCTATACATTTTTATTACACATACTTAGACAGAGGCCATACCCGGATTACAGTGTATTCATTACTATGATGAATGTTATAATTAGATTTGTATTCAAGTTGAATTGAATTTACAGGCAGCACATTGTTTATCAAATCCTTGAAATTTTCGTGTATGTTATGTACATAATTTGTTATTTGACAGTGAATGTCCTAATTCTCTTACAGTACATACTGATGTAAATGAAATGTAAATGTACAGTGTAGATGCGCATACATCTGTAGATATAAATGAATCCATTTAAATATGTACATAATAGATTTATTACACCTTTGAATACATGCAGTAACTCTATATTTTCGTGGTTTTCTGTACAGTGGATATTGCAATGACTATATATGTCGGCAGTGGCATTGCCTTGTTGCTATAGTGATCACTGGATGGTTCCAGGGGCATGGAAGGATCAACAAGTATCACGAGAGACATTACATTCTTCTGGACTCATCTCTGCCTCTCAAATATTATTAAGGTAATTAACAACCTGGGACATATTTTTGAAGTA